AAATACCATAGGGATACAGGGATGAAGTTGCTCTTTTTTGAAACGCAAAGGCTACAACTCATGCCTGCGAAACGTTAACTTCATGCAAGTGTGATCTGCCTTATTCCTGACAGGACATAAGGCTCTTTCATAGTCATGGCCTCTGTGTGACAGAGTTGTCAGGTTGAGTTTACAGGCATTCATTCTAACAGTAGAAACACAGGTGTGCAGTAGGCAGCATAATAAATACAGTAGCATAATGTCTCACCTGTATGTGTAGATGTACTTGTCAGCATGGGTTTCCAGGTGCATTGAATGCAAAAAAGTTTCCACATACATGTAAATATCTGGCTCCGGGACCCCCCGCAGCCTGGCATACATGATCAGCAATTCCCGACCTGTCATGTGGTTCAGCATGGGGTCAGATTGAGGACAATAGCCAATTCTTGACCTAATCTGAATCCAGAGGGTAATTCATTAGCAATAGACCCAAGTCAGTTATTCCATTGAACACACAGTTACATGGATGAGATAGAAAACCTGGTTTCTAGCCCATGCTGGCAAGGTGATACCCATAGAGCTCCTAACAAGGATTACTTCTTTTTCAGTCTAAAGAATCTTTACAGCTGGAACCCATGGTAGTAGAATGGAATACTAACATCCCTCCCTGGAATTTTCAACATATACCTATTGTGTATTTTTATGTGCCCAATACAGTTTTTTGTTAGATGAAGTTGTCTATTCCAATATCATTAAGAAATTGCCATTCTGTTAAATCAGTTAAAATCATGTATAAGATTTTCACTTCTGGTAATGCCAAGTACTTGTATCAGGCCAACTCTTCCACACATAAAAATAATATATGATATATACATGATATATATGATCATATATATAACATATATCATATATATACACAAAAGTAAACAAGTTAGACTTAATGAGACTGAAAACTTCTGTTCAGCAAAGGAGTCCACCAATAAAACAAAAGGGCATCCTACCAAATGGGAGAAAATATTTGCAAATTATCTATTTGATAAAAAAGTTAATATCCAGTTTATGTAAAGAACTCATTAACTCAACATCAAAAAGACAAACAATCTGATTAAAAAATGGGCAGAGGACCTGAATAGACATTTTTTGAAAGAAGGCATCCAGATGGCCAACAGGCACATGAAAGGGCACTCAACATCACTAATCATCAGGGAAATGAGAATCAAAACCACAATGATTTATCACTTCATGCCTGTTAGAATGGCTATTATCAAAAAGGCAACAAGAGATAACAAATATGAGTGAGGATGTGGAGTAAAGGGAACCCTTGTGCACTGTTGGTGAGAATGTAAATTGGTGCCGTCACTATGGAAAACAGTATGAGATTGCTCAAAAGATTAAAAATAGACTACCATATAATCCAGCAGTTCCACTTCTGTGTATTTATCCAAAGGAAATGAAAACAGTCACTCAAAAAGATATTTGCAGTCCCATGTTCACTGCAGCATAATATTTACAATAGCCAAGATGTGGAAACAAACTAAGTGTGTTGATGAATGAATGGATAAAGAAGATGTGATATGATCAAAAGGCACATTAAAAAATGTTCAGTATCACTAATTATCAGAGAAATGCAAATCAAAACTACAGTGAGGTATAACCTCACACCAGTCAGAATGGCCATCATTCAAAAATCCACAAATGACAAATGCTGGAGAGGCTGTGGAGAAAAGGGAACCCTCCTGCGCTGCTGGTGGGAATGCAGTTTGGTGCAGCCACTGTGGAAAACAGTATGGAGATTCCTCAAAAGACGAGGAATAGACTTACTATATGACCCAGGAATCCCACTCCTGGGCATATATCCAGAAGGAACCCTACTTCAAAGTGACACCTGCACCCCAATGTTCATAGCAGCACTATTTACAATATCGAAGACATGGAAACAGCCTAAATGTCCATCAACAGATGACTGGATAAAGAAGAGGTGGTATATTTATACAATGGAATATTATTCAGCCACAAAAACGACAACATAACGTCATTTGCAGCAACATGGATGTTCCTGGAGAATGTCATTCTAAGTGAAGTAAGCCAGAAAGAGAAGGAAAAATACCATATGAGATCACCCATATGTGGAATCTAAAACAAAACAAAACAAAACAAAACATAAATACAGATCAGAAACAGACTCATAGACATAGAATACAAACTTGTGGTTGCCAAGGGGGCAGGGGGTGGGACGGACAGACTGGGATTTCAAAATGTAGAATAGATAAACAAGATTATAATGTGTAGCACAGGGAAATATATACAAGATTTTATGGTAGCTCACAGAGAAAAAATGTGACAATGAATACATATATGTTCATGTATAACTGAAAAATTGTGCTCTTCACTGGAATTTGACACAACATTGTAAAATGATATAACTCAATAAAAAATGTTAAAAAAAGATGTGATATATCTATGCAATAGAATGTTACTCACCCATAAAAAAGAATGGAATCTTGCTATTTGTGACAAACGTAGATGGACCTAGAGGATATTATGCTAAGTGAAATAAGTTAGACAGAGAAAGACAAATTTTTTGTTTTAAAATATATTTATTCTTATTTTATATTTTTTCCTGATTTTTCTATGACAGTTTTCCATCATTTTCCTATGATCTGAACATTAAAAAACTATTCTTTTTATTTGCTCTTTAAAATGCTGATAGAATAGTCCCTATGAAACCCGTCTGTAACTAATGCTTAATTTTATTTTATCTTATTTTATTTTACTTCACTGAAGAGTAAATATTTGGTAACTTCCTCTATGTTTCTACAGAAATTATGATTATCTCAGTTTACTATTTTCTATTTCTTCTGAGATAAGTTTTAATAATTTGTATGTAGCTAGAAAATTACTTTTATTAAAGATTCACATTTTATTTACATGGAATTGAATCAAGTACTTTCTGTTTCTTATGATTTCTAGTCAATGTATTTGTGTTCCCTTCCGGTTTTAATAGGTTTAGCTATTTCTCTATTTTTAAAAAGTTCTAGTTGTTTTGACTTATTTTTTGGTTAGTTGACTTTATTATATTTTTACATATTTATGTATTATTGTCTACAGTTATACTTATATGCTTTCTTCCATTCATTGTTTTCTGAACCATGTGGTTGTAACTTGTTTATTTTTATTTTTTTTTAAATTGAAATGAGCATATATAAGGTCATACGTTATTCTCTGAGTAGTGGTTGGTTGTATATCATAATCTCATGTAATGCTTTCATTATTTTCTAGAAACTTTGTAATATTTTATTGAAAGCAAGAGTCATCTAAAGATGAATTTTTAAATTTCAAAATGAGAGGAACTTTTCATATTCTGATTTTGTTATTTTTTTATTGTATTCAATTATAATCATAATATACATGTTTTTATATTTTGAAAGATTGTTTTTTGATGTATGGCATAAAAATGGTCATACCCATTATTGAATTATTTTTGAGAGATGTAGAATTTGATATATAACAATCATGTTTACCATATTGACTGTGTTGCTTACATATTCTTTATCCATATTTATTTTCTGTTGACATCATCTGTCTTGTACTAAAATAAGAGGATTAAAGATTTCATTTATTATGTTTTTATTCTCATATTTCCCATAATTTATGCCTTAGGGAGGTTGCTTTTGTGTCATTTGGTGCAAAAAATACTCGTAACTTCTCCGTCTCCATGATAAATGTTACCTTTTAGTATTCGTGCCACTTTTGTCATTTTTGATGTTTTTAGGCTAGAATTCCACCTTGTTTTCTGTTATGGCTGATTCCCTTTTTTCAGATTTACAAAGGCTTATGTTGTTCTAATGATATCTTTAATATATAAAAATTTATATATCTTTTTATATCTTTGAAATTTATTGAGCCTGCTTTAATCCAACATATGATCAGTTCTTCTAAAAAAATATTCCTTGTATGAAAGAATAGTATCATTCTTCATTTGTTGGGTACAATATTTGTATACTTCTTTAATGTAAGCCCATTAATTGTTCTGTTCAAATATTCTACATCTCATTAATGAGTTTTCAATGTCTTTGTTCTATCACAGTGAAAAAGATGTTAAAATTAGCCACTACAATCATGTGTCTGTTTCTCCTTGAATTCCCCCTTTTTTATACTTTATAAATGTTGAGCCTGTAATCTTGACATTTTAATGTTTTAAACTATGTCTTCCTGATGAAAATTATGCAATCACACTCTTCTAACTCTAGTAATAGTTGTTGCCTTAATGTTTTGTCTCATATTATAGCTACCGCTGCTTTTTTGATTAGTATATTCATAGTGTTTTTTTCCCTTCATTTACTTTCAGACTTCTCATATGTTTTAAAATATGCCCCTTGTAAAGAGGATATAGTTTAGTCTTTTGTTTCTCTCTTTGCTTTATTTTCACCCTAACTTAAATCTTTGTTCTTTAACTGTAATGTTGAGTTCACTTATACTGCAATTTATCACTCATATATGTGAATTTAAATCTGTCAACTTGATTCATATATTATATTTGTCCTATATCTTGGTTACTCTTTTTTCTTGCCTTATTTTGGATTGATTGAGCATTTTTTTTTAATCACTCCATCTTTTGCTTTACTTTTGAAATTTATATATACTGTTTCTTTTAGTGGTTACTCTGAAGTAAGTAAGTCAAGTTAACCATATCAAAATAAAAAATGAATCACCCTATTTTACCTCTAGACTGTATAAATAAGAATACTTTATAACTTCATTAACTACCTTTGGAACTTGTATTGTCATGTATTTCAATCCTAGTTTATAATTTTCATTAATATTATTACCTTTAGAAATCAAAATACATTGACACATATATTTACCACTGTCTTTTCATTTTCATTCCTTATTTCATTGCAAGGCTTTTGTCATGGATCAACTTTCTTACTCTTGAAGTGTAAATCCTTTAGTATTTCCTTTAGCAAGAGTGTGCTGGAAGTAATAAATCTCATTTTTTTTCCTCTGAAAAAGTTTTTATTTTTCCACCATTCACCACCGTATCTTGTGAACAGCTTTGTTAAGGTATAATTGACATACGATAGACCGTATGTATTTAAATTGTGCAAGCTGATAACTTTGGTAAATACTGTCACTGTGAAACTGTGAAACCATCATCACAATCCAGATAGTCTGTTATCCCACAGCCCCAACAGTTTTTGTGTCCCTTTGTAATACCTGCCTCCCACTCCTCACCTCCTACTCTTCAAGCAATGACTGATGCACTTTCTGCCACTACGAATTATTTTAAATTTGAGAGACATTATGCTAAATGAAAAAAGCCAGATACAGAAAGAAAAAAAAAACCCACATTTTTATGTAGAAACTAGAAAAGTTAAATACTTAGAAGAAGAGACTTGAACGATGGTTACTAGGAGCTGGGAGACAGGAAGGGGGATGTTGGTCAAAGGGTACAAAGCTCAGGTTATGTAGGATGAATAAGTCTGGAGATACAACAGTATGCTGACTGTAGTTAATAATACTCTGCTGAATACTGGGAGTGTGCTAGGAGGGTAAACTTCAGGTCTTCTAATCACACACACAAAAGGTAACTGTGAGGATATGCTGATGTGCTTGACTATAAGTAATAAGTATATGTATATAAATCATCATGTTGTGCACTTTAAATATTCACAGTTTTTATTTTTAAAAGTTATGCAGCCTCACTCATAATAAGAAATTATTTAAAACTATACGGAAATGCTATTTTAAAAAAAATCTACTGAAACTGTGTTCCACTGTGTTGAAGTGGGAAATGATTGGCTGGGACTTCTGAGCTACTCGAAAAACAACAGCTTGCTGACAGCCCACCAAACATGCCCCACATCCACTAGCAAGAAATGATTAACTAAGATTACAGAGCTTGCTTTGCAGAATACCAAGGAAATCACCTGTAAGGAAACAATTTCCTGACTGTTTCCTTCGACTCAACATCGCATAGGATCACTGAGGGACAAGAATGACTGATCAGTGAACTTTGGAGGCTGAAAATCCACCACATGCAACAGAAGGAAACCACCCCCTCCCAATTTGCACATGCAACCCATGAAAAGGCATGAAGACAGTTGTGCCTGTGCAGAGGACTCATGAAACTTCCCCCCTTACCCTTCTATCAATCATTTCTTAGCCCAGACACCCTCCTGTTTCCGACTCCCACTCAAAGCTGATTGGGAAGACAGATCTGAGCTTTGCCTTCTATCTCCTTGCTTGGCTGCCCTGCAATAAATAAAGTCTTTTCTCTCTATAGAAGACCGTTGCTTCAGTATTTGGTCTTTCCGTTGGGCAGCGGGAAACCAATCCTGCTAGCTTGGTTACACTGCCAGACTGGCTAAAGCCCAAAAGACTGATCATATGTTTTGCTATGGTCAGTGTAGGGAAATAGCCACTCTCAAAAATTGCTCGTGTAGTGTAAATTTATATATCCACATATGGAAAGCAATTTGCCGAGGTCCAAAAGATTGTACATAGTATACTACATTTTGTGTAATAAAATGGAAAACAGATCTTTATAATTGATGATATACATGTAAAAAAAACTGTAGGATGATAACAGGCTTGGGATGGGATGAGGCAAAGGTGGGTAGGAAAGAAAATGAGACTTGGTACTTATATACATTTTCATATTGTTTTGATTTATGGCCCATATGAATGAATACTTTCTTTCCTCAGAGAGCTCCCATTCCTATGTATTACCAATTTTCTTTTTAAACTTTTTACTGCTTTTTTTCCTGTTTGTGTAAATATATTCTAGTTGCTAAAAATTACAATTCTGTCCTTGTCATCTCCTTAAACTCTGAGTGTCATTCTTCTTCCCCTTTTGTTTGACATCTCCCTTTCTTTTGAGTTTGGTCCCCACTCATTTCCCCATCCTCATTGTCATCCCACTGCATTCCTGTTTCAGTGATGTCCAGAGGACACCTGTCTTGCCTGACATCTGTATTTCATTTTCTTTTTCCAGTTTTTTCTTCAGATGGATTTTGTGATAAAACTTTACCCAGATTTTCCTCTAACTCACTAATCCTCCCCAACGTCTCCAGGTATTCTCTCTGTCTCCATATCTTAGAAATGTTGATAATCCTCAGGATTCAGCCCGTATCTTTCTTCTCATTATTATACACACTCCCTGTAGATTATCTCATCTAGTTCCATAGTTTAAATTTCATTTACACTTTGATGAATCCCATGAAATGTATATCTCTGTATCAATTCACTATCATAGGTTCCAACTGTCTATTGGATATTCTCCCATTTAAATGTGTCGCAGACATCTAACATTCAGCGTATCCTCTTCTGAATATACTCATGTCCTGTATTTACTCTCTGGGTGAATGGAACTTTCTTTCATTCACTGGCTCAAGATAGATTGCAGGACAGTATCTCAGGTTCTTTTCTTTCCCTTATAGCCCACATCCAAATGGAGCCTAAACCCTGACAACTCTACTTTCTCAACGTCTTTCACAACTACTGCTTCTAACCATTGTTTTATAAGAAGCTCCAATTACATCATGGCAGATTAAGTGAGATAGCTGCTCTTCCTGTTACTAGTTTGATCCATGTATAGATACTCAAATTTTGTTTCAGCCAGAAAGAATATTTGCCTTTTCCCAAATTCAGGATGTTATCATGACTATCGCTGTCCCTGGAGTCTGTTATTTTTGAGTAAAGAATGTATATATGTCAATGCTTCCAGCTTTCCTTCCATGCCCCCCACCCACTTGTCTGTCACCTCCTCCCTTAGGGCACCGACTCAGTGATTAGGTCCAGAAATACCTTTCTGATATTTTCAGTGATGCTAATGCCGTCAATTAACACAACTCCAGAGGTTGTGGTCTCCTCTCCAGTCAATATTTTGAATGTAGTGGTTTTTCCAGCTCCATTTAATCCAAGTAATCCAAAGCACTCATACTTTTGGACTAAAAGGGAGATATTTCTTACAGCCTTTACAACTGGACACTTATAGTAAATCTGAGAAAATTAAAAAGGAACCACATTGTAGTAAAGCACTGATTACAGTCAGCCACAACCATAACCTCAGACCCCTGTGGACTGCTATCTGTGGGCAGTTTCACAGGACTCTTCTCCCCTTCAGCCGTCTCTTTTACCAGAATATTTACATCGATCCCATAAAACTCCAATGAATTAGTAATACTACCAATACGGTCTTGGCAGGGAAGGTGGGCTAAATCTTAGGGCAAGGTTGGACATTGAATGATTTTACCTTTGTAAGATCGTTAAGTAGTAGCGGGGCACGCTTCAAATTAGTTAACAGTGTCAGGACTCTCTGCCTTTCATCTTCTACGTCTTTATCCTCATATTCCTTGTTTACTTGGATGGACGCTGTAGCCTATATTTTCAAGACAAGGATCACAGAAGTGAATAGACTTTAGGTGTCTTGCTTTAAACTGCGTGGCTTTTTGAAAGCTGACCTGATGGAATAATCTCAAAGATGTCAGGAAATGTTCTTAGAGCTTTCCTACCAATTTCCTGAAATCATATGTGCAAATTTGTTCCTAAATTGCTCAGTTTTGGAAACTATAGTCATGAACAAGTTTTCTACAGCTATGAATAAGCAGTATATCCTTGCCAGTAACATGGGCACTTCGTGGAGAACAAAAGCCGCCTTGATACTATTAATTATTATATAGTGTGATTTGTTACAATTAAAATATGTTCAAGAGACCTGAGATTCAAGAGACCTGAGATCCAAGAGAAGAAAAGAATGAACTCCACTTTTTTTGAGGGAAGGACCCTTAAAAGCAAAGTCTGAACTAAGTTTGAGGAATAAACAGATATTGAGAGAATGAAAGGAAGGTGGTGATGGAAGAAAGGCTGCCATCAGCAGTGGGAGCTTAGTGAAAGATGTGTAGGAATGAAACCACATGGCATGTTTTGTGAATAGTAATTTGTACTGTTGGAGCAAAATTTTGTTGTTTTGAATTGGTTATTTTTTGCTTCAATTACTCATTTGGTGGTAGTGGTTAAGGAGGAATGGAGCAGGAGAATATATTCAGCTCAGTAAATATGCTAATCAAAAGAGTGAGAAGAGGATTGCTTTAAGTTTTTTTTTAATCAATCTTAAAATTGATTGAATAGAAATGGTAAGAGTGAGTATCCTTGTCCAATTTTCAATCTTATAAGAAAACATTTAGTCTTTCACCATTATGTTCGGTGTATGCTTCATGTGTAAGTAGATGCCACTTATCAGGTTAAGATAGTTCCTGTTTCCTTAGTTTGTAGATAATTTTTTTAAAAAATCATAAATATTAAATGTCAAATACTTTTTCTGCAATAATTGATATAAATGTGATTTTATTCTTGAGTATTAATATTATAACACTGATTTATTTTGAAATATTAAACTAGCTTTACATTCATGGAATAAATGCCATTTGTTCATGATGCATTATTCCTTCCGTGTATTCCTGTATTCTATTTGTAAATATTTTGTTGGAGATTTATGTGTCTGTGTTTATGAGAGATATTGGTTTCTTACACTTTCTTTGGCATAAGATTAATGATCACTTCAAAAATGAATTGAGAAATGCTTCCACCTCTTCAGCTTCTTGGAAGAAACTGTGTAGAACTGATGCTATTTCCCCTTTAAATTTTCACTACAACTCACTAGTGAAATTTCTGGGCTTAGAGTTTTCTTTTTTGGAAGTACTAAACTATGCAGGAAATTTCTTTAATTGAAATAAGGCTATTTAGTTTTTTTTTTAAAGCCTTTAAAAAATTGAAGCATAGTCATTTTACAATGTGTCAGTTTCTGGTGTACAGCTTAACGTTTCAATAATACATACACATACATATATTCATTTTCATATTCTTTTTCATTATAGGTTACTACAAGATATTGAATATAGTTGTCTGTGCTGTACAGAGGAAGTTTGTTGTAGATCTCCTTTATATATAAAGTAGTTGGTGTTTGCAAACCTCAAACCCCAATTTCTTAGCTGAATGAAAAATATGAATCTATACATCCAAGAATTTAAACGACCCCTAAGTAGTTTTAACACAGAGATCCACACTTAGCCTCATTATAGTCAAACTATTCAAAGTTAGTGACAAAAAGACAATTTTGATAGTGGCTAGAGAAAAATGACTTATTAGATACAAGGGGACAACAAAGGATTAGTAGCTGACCTCTCATAAGTCGGTACGCCATTCCATAAAAACAGTGCCGTCTGAAAGGCAGTGGTGTGATATATTCAAAGTGTTGAAAGAAAAATCTGTCAGTATAGAATCTATATCTAATATCTTTCTCTTTTTATGGTTCATGAACTATCTTTTACTTCTCATTAATAATAGTGACTTTTTCTCATTTTGGAATGTTAAGAAAACTAAGAATGAACTTTTGGCTTGAAAATAGGACATTCAGTTCACTCTGGTTTAAGGATATCAAGGCTAAGCAGGGTCGCTCATTAGATTACTGTATAAAATTTTGAGGCCTTGGTCACTTGCTTGGTGCTGCTCTCAGCATTCTGGAGGCAGTGACAAATAGGAGAAGAATTTACCAGCTGAATATTCTCATAATATTATCCAAAAAATCTCCCTCCATATTAATTCTTCTTTTTCTTAATTCAGTTTTTCGTTTTAAAAATTTATCTACATATTTATTTTACAATATATTTTTTCAATTGAAGTATAGTTGATGTACAATATTATATGTTACAGGTATACAATACAGTGATTCACAGATTTTTTAAGGTTATACTCCATTTATAGTTATCATAAAATACTGGCTATTTCCCCCATGTTGTACAGTATATACTTGTAACTTATTTTATACCCGATAGTTTGTACCTCTTAATCCTCCACCTCCATCTTGCCCCTCCCTCCTCCCTCTCCCCACTGGTAACCACAAGTTCCTTCTCTACATCTGTGAGTCTGTTTCTTTTCTGTTATATTCACTAGTTTGTTGTATTTTTTTAGATCTCACATGTAAGTGATATCTTACAGTATTTGTCTTTCTCTGTCTGAGTCATTATGCTTCTTTTTTCATATCTGAAGTGTATGACATGGTTCAGGGTCTATTGTTTCAGTCTAAGTTAAGTCTAAAATCTCAAAGTACCATTCATATGTTTAATCCTAGACACTCAGGAAAAATCCCTCCTATATATACCTAAATTTATTTTGGTTGAGCATATCTTGGAGCAGACATCTTCTGTTTGTGGTAGAAATATCTGTATGGGTTTTGGTATAAAAGTAGATAGAATAGGAGTTTTGTTATGTTGTTCTAGGCATTAATTAGCAACATAAAGCAGGGAACTAAAACTCTGGTTAAATGCGACTCATGCTAGTCAGAATTCCATGTAGAACAAAAGGCTATTATGGTCTCAAGATATCGTCCCTGCTGATATATTAGAGTTATGCAGGCTCAGAGAAATTTATGATCCGTATCTAGAGCCACCGTGGAATAGAACCCACAAACAGGATTAGGATGAATGAGGGGAAGTTACGAGGAGATAGATGGGAGGTTTGCTGCCTCAACAGATGTTCAAGTATATACCAGTGGGAATTCAATTACTGGAGGAATGGACCATTAGAATAAAAAATTCTAGGCAAAACCCTGAGATTAGGAAAAATTATAAGAAAACTTTGTAAAGCAATAGGTTATAATCTGACTGGTAGAGACCATAGAACTCTACAATTCTACACAGTTTTAAGAAGCCAATTCTGTAACTACAATCAAATACATCCCGAAGACTATGTGCAGGAAGCAGCACTTTCTAATATAAATCGATTACTTTCTTCTTGGCAGAGAATTCAAAGTTTAGAACCTGAAATCCAAACTAAGATAAAAGTCCTGTTATTCAAACTAGTCCCAGTTAGATCTTAGTATAATTGAATGATATTTTCTTTATCAACTAATAGACGTAGGGATATATAAATTCATGCATTCTGGCCTAACTGAATTTTCTTTGTGTTGTATCTAAAGTTTATGATACTTACCTTCTTGCATTTTCTGAATATCTCGTAGACATTAAATACGATTTTATGATAGACAAAGTTTTTCAGGCTCCAGAATGTACTTTCCAGACACAAAAATAGGAGCAGATAAATGAGGCCCAGGGCAGCCAATGAAATCAAAAACTTTCCAATCCCATGTTCTCCAAAACCATAGATATTATTCTCAATAACTGAGGATGATAAAAGAGATAGCCTTACTTTAAAAAGTTATACAGAGTCTAAGATGACACCAATTATTAAGAAATAAAGGATCAAAATTAAATGAAGTTAGATTTAGAGAAGTATAGAATATGGAAAATAAGTAATTGTCTTAATATTTTATTTGTCTCTTATTTGATCTTCCCTGATATTTTTGGTTACTTTTATAAAAGTTCCCTGGCAATGATGGTTCCTCTAGTTTTTTTGTTTTTTTTAAAACCAGTTTTGATAGACAGCAGTTTTACTACAAACACAGTGTTTCAAATGCTGAGTCTTTGTGAACAGAATGCTTAGTAATTAAATAAAGCAAATAAATGAAGGCATTTATGGCATGCTTAACTACTATTGTAGGCCCTGCATAATATCCTTAAAGTCCTTCAGCATGAGAGAAAATTTTATTCCATAAATATGAAAAGTTTTAAATAGGAAGAGTAGAAATGGCAATACTTACAAAGAAGAAAAGAACAATAGTTTAAATGTAAATGTGTGATAGCTGATAGTTCCTGACTTTACTACAGAGAAAATTAACACAAACAGCTAAGTCCTGGATAAGCAAATAGGAGACATTTCTGAGATGTGAAGATATTAAAATCGCTCCCTTTTTATAAGAATTATATTTTCTGTACCAACATACAGAAATGCAGTTTATGTGTTTTACTGTAACAATACACGTAACATAAAAATACCTTTTTAAAGTATAAAATTCACTGGTACTGAGTACACTTACGATGTTGTGCAACCATCACCACTACCTAGATCCATAATATTTTCATCACCCCAAAGGAAAATCCAATATCTATTAAGCAGTCTTGGTTACCCCAAATCCTCTAGCCACTGACAACCACTAATCTACTTTTTGTCTGTATGGATTTGCCTATTTTGGACATTTTATATGAATGAAATCATATAGTAAGTGGCCTTTTGTGTCTGGCGTCTTTCACTTAGCATCATGTTTTCAAGACTCATCCAAGTTGTAGCATGTATTTGTAATTAATTTCTCTTTATTGTTGAATGACATTATATTGTTTGGACATTTTGTCCATTTACCAGTGGATGGACATCTGGATTGCTTCCACTTTTTATGGAAAAAAGCTAATATGAATAATGCTGCTATGAACATTTGTGTACAAGTTCTTGTTTAAATACTTATTTTCAGTTCTTTTGGGTATATACTCGAGTGGAATTGCTAGGGTAAGTGGTAATTATGTGTTTAACCTTTTGAGGAGCAAGCAACTGTTTTCCACAGGAGCTGCAACATTTGATATTCCTGCCAGGAATATCTGAGTATAGCAGTTTATCCACCTCCTTGCCAAACCTTTGATACTTTCCATTTTTTTTTCTAGCCACCCAAGGGGATGTGCAGGGATATCTTGTGATTTTCTTTAACTGAATAAATTTGACATGTAACACTCTGTAAGTTTAAGGTGTACAGTGTTACCCTGATATATTTATATGTTATAATATGATTGCCAATGTAGCAATATTTATCACATTACATGGTTATAGTACAGTATTATTGTCTCCATTCATTATACTGTGCATGAGGTCCTATGGCTTTTTAACTACTCTTTACAAGTTTGTACCTTTAAATACCATCATTCTTATCCTTTCTCCTCCAAACCCCTGGTAACTACCATCTTACTCTATGATTTTTACAGGTGTAACTCTTTTAGATTCCACATATAAGTGATATCATACAATACTTGTCTTTGTCTGACTTATCTCACTTAGCATAATGTGCTCAAGGTGTTGCTGCAAATGGCAGGATGTCTTCCATTCTCATGGCTGAATAATATTCCATTGTGTATATGTAACACATCTTTTTTATCCATTCATCTGTTGATGGGCATTTGGGTTGTTTCCATATCTTCACTATTGTGAGTAATGCTGCAATAAATGTGGGAGTGCATATATCTTGTTAAAATCCTGTTTCACACTTCCTTTGGGTATACAGCCAGATGCAGAAGTACTGGATTGTATGGTAGATCTTATTTTTAATTTTTTGAGGAAACTCCATATTGTTTTCCACAATAGTTGGACTGATTTACATTCCCACCAACAATGCATATGGGTTCCCTTTTAACCACACTCTTGCCAGCACTTGTCTCTTGATGATAGCCATTCTAACACCTGTGAGGTGATAGCTCATTGTAGTTTTGTATTTGTAGTTTTAAATCTCAATATTTAAACTATGTTATTCCACTTTCTTCTGGCCTGTAGAGTTTTTGCTAAGAAATCTACAGGCAGCCTAATGGGGTATCTTTGTAGGTTACTGTTGTTCCCATCACCCCACTGGCTGCCTTTAAAATTATTTATAATTGACTTTGACAGTTTTAATGTAATGTGTCTTGGAGAAGGTCTTTTTGTTTGAGATAATAAGGTGTTCTGTTAGCTTCATGGACTTGTATATCCAGTTCCTTCTCTGGGTTTGGCAAGTTCTCAGCTGTTATATTGTTTAAATAAGCTCTCTTCTCCCTTCTACCTCTCTTCTCCTTCTGGAATACCCATTAACCTTATGCCATTAACCTTGGCTCCCCCAATATAGTCAGACAAGTCTTGTAGGATTTCCTCACGTAAAAAAATTTTGTTCTGTCTCCTCTTCACCAGAACCATTTCTATATATCTATCCTCAAGTTCACTAATTCTCTCTTCTATCTGATCTGCTTTATTTCCAGTGCATTCTTCCTCTCATTCATTCATTCTTTGGCACCACATTTCTGTTTTTTTGTTTTTGTTTTTGTTTTGTTTTTAGAATTGCAGTTGCTTTGGTAAAGTGCTTCTGTTCATTAATTTGATCCCTGAGATGATTTTAATGCCTTTCTAAGTTTCCTTGTAGTCTGTGGAATTTCTTCATAACAGCCATTTTGAATTCTTTATCATTTAGATCACAATATTCTATGTCTTTTAGGTTCAGTTGCTGGGAAATTGTCATTTTCTTTTTGTGATACCTTATTATTGTACTTTCTGATGGTGTTTGGTGAAAAATGCCTCTGCCACCACATCTGAAGTGCAAACACCTTTCTTTGTTATACTTTGCTTCTAACTGTTCAAATGCCTTCTTTCAGTCCTCTTTGTCTGCCTACTTCTTTTCCTTTCTCTCCCCTCAGTCACTCAGAGAGACTTCCAGCTGCAGCATGTGTTTAGGGAGACCACCACTCATCACCTCCATGCTCAATCTCCTCTTCCAGAAAGGTAACACTGCCTTGGTGCTGAACCTGCTATGCCTTCTCGGCCACTGCCAGCTCCACGACCACCCACCTCCTTGCACAGGCTCTTGCATGGTTCAATCCATCCACTTTTGGGTGCACAGATGGATGAGTCTCTTGGGTGTCCTGGTATGCTGTGCAGAGATGCTTTCTTTGGTTACAGATGTCCAATTAATTATAAATTGAAGGGGAGAGAAAAAAGGAATGATTCACATCACCATGATGTTGACATCAATCCTATCTCATTGTGATTTCAGTTTGCATTTCTTCAATGAATAATGGTGTTTGGCATCTTTTCATGTGCTTGAAGGCCATCTGTATAGCCTCTTTGGGGACATATCTATTCATGTCCTTTGCTCATTTTAAAATTGGGCTTTCTCTTGAGTTGTAAGAATTCTGTATACATACTGGATGCTAGACTTACCAGAGACATGGATTGCAAATATTTTCTCCCATTTCGCAGGTTGTTCTTTTACTTTTTTGATAGTGTTCTTTGAAGCACAAAAGCTTTAAATTTTGATGAGATATATTTATTTTTTCTTTTGTATGCTCTTGGTGTCATATATAGTATGTCATTGTCAAATCACAGATCATGAAAATTTACCCTTATATTTCCTTACAAGAGTTTTATACTTTTAGTTTTCATGTTTAGGTCTTTGATCTATTCTTAAATTTTGTACATGGTGTCAAGTAAAGTTTCAGCTTCATTCTTCTGCATGTGAATATTCAGTTTTCCCAGCACCATGTGTTGAAGGGATAAAGTCTTTTTTTTCTCATGGTGTGATCTTGGTAACCTCACTGAAAATCAATTGACCATAAAAGTATGGTTTTATTTCAGGACTCTCAGACTGTTCCATTATTCTATATGTTTATCCTTATGCCATTACAGCTCTGTTTTTGTTACTGTAGCTTTGTAGTAAGTTTTGAAATCAGGAACTGTAACTCCTCCAATTTTGCTTTCCTTGTTTCAATATTATTTTGGGTATTTGCAACACCCTTGTGATTCAAATAAATTATAGATTATGCTTTTCCATTTCTATTAAGGAAGGCCATTGTGGACTTTGATAGAGATTACACTGAATCTCTAGATCACTTGAGGGAGTATTACCATCTTAACCATATTAAGTCTTCAAATCCATGAATGTGTGATATCTTTCCATTTATTTAACTTGTCCTTAATTTATTTTAGCAATGTTTTGTAGTTTTCAATATACATGTCTTGCATCTTTTTGCTTAAACTCAGTTCTAAGTATTTTACTCTTTTTAATGCTATTGTAAATGAATATATTTTCTTTATTTCCTTTTTGGATTGTTCATTGCTACTATAGAGCCAAAACAGTTTGAAGAAGATCAAGGATGATCTTGTCAACTTAAAAACTTCCTAAAAAGCTAAAGTAACCAAAACAGTTTGATAGTGACATAGGATAGAAATATTGATCAAGGGAGCAGAATTTATCTTCCAAAAATAAACTCTTACACTTATGGTCAATCCATTTTTAAAAAAGGTACCAAGACAATTTGATGGGGAAATGATATAATTTTTGCTGGGACAAATTATGCTGTGACCTATATATAGACCTAGTCATGTTGAAGAAGACATTGGAGCCTTGACTCTGGGTTAGGTGGAGATTTTAAATATAATACAAAAAACAGAAAACACTACCTATACAAGAAAATGTTAATAAACTGAATTTCCTCAATATTTAGAACTTTTATGCTTCAAAAGACACCATTAATAACTTCTGACCAAACAAATGTCCATCAACTGATGGACAAATAAATGAAAGTAGTACATCAGTACAGTGGAATACTATTCAGCAACAAAAAAGAATACTGAGATATGCTGTAACCTGGATGAATCTCAAAAACATTATTTTAAGTGAAAGAATGGAGATACAAAATGATTCTATTGATATATTCATAAATATCAAATATTTTAAGGCAATAAGTATGTTAGTGGATGCCTAGGCTGGGCATTGTAATGGGGATTGTAAACAGGTGTGATGGATCTTCTTCAGATAATGGAAATACTCTAACATTAGCCTGTGATAATGATGGCTCAACTATATAAATTTAGTAAAAGTAATAAATAAAATAAAATAAATTAATTTAAACTGATCATAGTATGTAAATAATAAATCAGTAGAGTTGTTTTTAAAAAGCAGAGTGAGGAACTTATGGTCCAAATATGATGCAAACTAAAATGTGACATAATTTTTGTTGTTCAGGAACTGTAAGAAAATATAATCCATTTAACCCTAATAATTATATTTTATCCTGCACTGGTTTAGTGAAGTACCATTACATTTCTCTTTCTGTGGCTGCATATAAATTATTCGATTCCAGAACAAGCTGTGCATGAACACACACACATGCACACACACACAGAGTAAATATGCTCATTATTTCTCAATGTTTAGAAACAACCTGAAATATAAAATCAGCCTAACATATGGAAACTTTAATAGAACGCCTTTATTTTCCTCTGATTTTGATCTGGCTGTGAGTTTACTTTTCTTTTACCTGTGTAATACTTAAAACGTAGTGACCCAGGGAACTTACATTTAATCTTTAGTTTAAGTAAAGTATTCAGTCTCCTCATTTACAAAATTGGAATAATAGTAGCTAACTTACAGGGTGCTGTGAAGATTCAAGATAATGTGTGGGAAGCTACTTTCACATTGAAGGTGAATAACTAGTAGTAACTCATTCTAAATCTGGTGGTGTCTTCATAAATTTACCTTGGATTTTACTTTGAGGTTTCATTTTATTCCCTAGTCTATGAAAATGACTTTGGTACAGAAAAATGCTGAAAACAGCAAGCCTGTCTCCTGAATGTCATTCGACAGGTTTCTCTGACTGTCTACAATCTAAGCTTATATGTATAACTCTAGAAAGGATGGGCTGTTTTTAAGGACCCAGGGAACCCCAGATACTCACGTTTTTTATCGCAGTCCAGGTAGATATTTTTCAGTTTCCTGGCACACCTTTTTTTCACCTCAGAGTCATCAAAGAACTTGCTGATACTCATTGCTAAGTTGTAACTAGGAAGCATCATTAATGTATTAACCAGGAAGGTTCTTGTGAATTGAGGAATGTCATTTTCTATGATTAAAAAGATGATAGATTAGCATCAGGTAAGAAAGGAATGAAACTCCCTTAAAAACAGACTTCCCTAAGATGATCAAACCACTCTCAGAGAATTACCAATCTAGCATGCTGATCATCTGAGAAAACAATAGTTATTAATTCGCTAAGCTTGCTCACCTTGATAGCTTGTAGCATGGGTGTGTCAATTACAGATTTCAAGAGAGGACTTTTGTTAACAGTATTTCCCTAGCATCTGTCTTCTCCCTCTTTATGGGTGCGTCTGCTATTAAGATCCCTACCTTGGCTTGGCCTTTGGTTTTTCTACTCTCCTCTGTCCCCCAAAATGGAAAATCATGGGATGCTGAATTTCACTTTGTTGTTGGCCTCTGCATTTTGAAATTTCTTATGGGATCAATGATGCAATTTTAAAAGTTTGAACAGTTTTTTATACAACATATATTGTTGTTTTAAGTGGGAGGGCAGTTCACCATTTTCAGTCCTTCATCCCTCTGGACATGCAAGTCTCCCCCTGAATTTCTCAGTGCCAAATCCAATAGCTTCTTTGTCATATTTCTTTTGTTTATCCCTTTGAATCCGTACTCTATCCTTCTCCATTACACTTTCTGCCCTGGGAGGATTATATGTATAGACTAAATCAAAGGACCTTGTTCTCTGGCTCTTAGTGGGTTGTAGGCCCATAGGAAGACCTGGCTGGAGAGAGGAAGGTTTCACTAGCATGTTCACTTTATGAAAATTTACCAAGCTGTACATTTATGGTCTCTGTACTTTTCTTAATGCAACTTATACTTGAATCAAGAAGTAAAAATAAGAAATGCATTCTTGAAGAGCTCTATGTTCACTGTCTTCTGTAGGGTGAAGATGATGGTAGAGTATGTTGCAATAGAATTTGGTTCCCTGACACCTATGGGAATAACGGGATCCTAGAATGTGGACTAGGTGGCACAATTTAACTATTAGATACAAGGTAGGAACTATTACCACAATAAGTAACAGGGACGGAATGTTAATCAGATTTTTTTCAACCACAGAAAAGGAATTACGTTTCTAAACTATCTGTTGCAGACAAATTACATTATAACCCAAGAAGAAAACTAACAAGTTTAGAAGTTCCTAAAACTACACTCCAGGAGAAAAATCTTCATTATTAGAAACTGGAATTCAGAAAACTCCTATTATCTGGGTTGTAGATAAAGTGAAATCAAGGTTTGCTACCCTGATGTGCCCCAGAGCTCTTTCCTCTGGATTAGGACAATACACGAAGGCCAGGCAGTAAAGTCTCAGAAATGAATACAATACAGAAGATTAAAATTACTAGTCCTCTCTCACCTTCTGTTAGGAGAATCTGAGATCTTTACAGACTGTCTGCCTATAGGGAGGAGGATTCAGTGAGGGAGGGATGATAGAAAACCTGCTATGACAAATGATCTTCAGTTCTATCTGGAGTCATGGGAAATAAGTGGATATTGGTGCCAGAGTCCAAAAGTTACTAGCAGAGAAAAAGTTAGTAAGGAAATACACATGAGATAGAATGGGTGACCGATCAATTGATAGTGCAGACCACCAATGGAATCCATAGATAGTATAAAAGTGATTGCCATGTAGTTAATTCAGGGAATGAACATGAATGCATGAATACTTGGCTTTTTAGCCTTCTATGCAGGGGCTCAAGTTTTAGTCACATGGCAAACTCCTTGTATAGGTATGCAAAAAGAACGAAAAAGCTATGTTTCATTTTGTGTGAGGCCAAGGTCTAAAGTCAGGGAATGAGTCTGGAAGTCTCTTCTGATTGGGTTCTGCCACATCAGGGAGGGCTGAGTTGATTAACGCAGTTCAAGATTCATGCTTATAGAGAAATTCAAGAAAGGAATGTTCTATGAACATATCTCATTTGTGGCATCACCAGCAGAGTCAGCATTTCTTTAAATTTCATAATCAGAAAAGGAAGATAGGGATAACCTACTCATGAAATCCTTCTGAAACCAGACCTGAAAGGAAGAGAAACTGGTTTAATGAGGGCTACATCTGTTGTATATTTAACTGTTTCCTTCTGAAAAACACTCATTAGGAGGCACGATTATATGCTTCATTAAATTAGGCAGGAGTCATACCATAGCACCTTCTGCTCCCCAGTCTCCCCACTTTGCTCCAACGTGCTGTTAAAACTTTAAAACTGACGGACCAAGTCTCAAGGGCGAGGCACGGGGATCTTTAATAGGACATAAATGTTGGTGCACTTGTGTCGTAATCTCTTACTCTAACTTTTTCTTTCATGAGGCTAGGATGATATACTGAGTCCAGCTCCTTCAGAGGGTTTGGCTTCTTTCTCACTTTCTTCCTTTCTTTTCCCCATTTCCTCTTTCCTTCCCTCTATCCCTCAACCTCTCTGTCTCATGTATCCACTCAATAAATACTTGCTGATTTCCAAAAATCACAGGCTTCAGATTCCCAGAAAGTAGGTGCTTAACAATTAATAATTTTATCCTCAAGCTCTTTCATCCCCATTTATTTAATGTATTTCCTGGAAAAAAGGAAAAATTGTGTGAAGTCCTTACCATAGTATTTAATTATGATGTGAATGACAATACTAAAAGCAGTT